CAGTTCCCGCCAAACGGCCCGCAGCCCTGCCCTGGCATCAGTGAGAGGCTAGGCTCCAGGAGGATGCACTAGTTTCTCACTCACGGTAGCAAATCAGCACAGCGCAGGAGGGACGCGGGCCCAGGGGCGAAAGGCCAGCCAAGTACCCGCCGCTGCCGTGGTGAAGCCAGACCTGCCAGGACCCTCGAGGACTCACAGACACACCACGCTCTCTTTCCAGCCATGGCCAGTGAGACCAGCATGCAGGATGGGGAGGCTCACAAAGCAGATCCGGGAGGATGAGGACCGGTGAGCTCAAGCTCAAGAGGCCCCGGACCCAGCGGGAAGCCGGCGGTGGGACTAAAACCAGCGAACAGGAAAGCTCTCTGGTGGAACGCACACTCCCGAACACGTGGAATATCTTGGAGCATTTCCCACACGGACCTGCTTCTGTGCACAGAAAAGCCCGGAACCTCTCTCCAGAAACCAGCACCTTCTCAACATGCGGGGCTCCCAGGGCAGGTGCGCTGGGCAGGCACCCCGCGGGGGCGAGGGGTGTCTGGCGGCCCCAGGAATCCTTGGACGCTCTCAGACCCCAGTCACCCTCTTCTGCAGGCTCTCAGGGTCCGATTTAACCCTCCTTTTATGATGCAAACAGTATGCGCCGGGCGCGTGAGAACCCCTCCTTGTCCTCGCGCGGCTTCGGCTCCGAGTCCGCCACGCACCATTCACAGCGTGCGGACGGTCTCTGGACAGCCTCCCTGGTTCCGCTTCTCAGCCGTGATGCCTGCCAATCGGTAAAGCATACACCACGGTGGGAGACGGCGGGACATCGACATGCGTCTCTGTTGGCAAACGCTGGGTCAGAATCCGGCATCTCCGCCTCACCTCTCTGCAGCTCAACTAGGGTTTCGTTATGAAAACTCAGCATGCTCAGATTGTCGGTAGGATTTGGGCCTCCTGCTCAGAAATCGGGGACCCCGCTGCCGTGGACACGCACCCCTTAGCGCCTGACCCCCGCCCCCCCGCGCCCCTCCAGGGACAGGTGGCCGCTCAGGACACAGTCTGCCACAGACCGGGCTTCCCGAGGAGGAGCCACAGTCCTGGAAGGGGCCACACACCGGACAGGATTTTTGGCAAAAGAAGGACACAGGGTTGAATAACACTGACTCCCACCATGAGAAGTGTTCCCTTTTATCTCCATCTCCTGATCTCTGCAAGGAGAGTCTGGGTTTCCTGCTCATATATCCCTACAGGTGCCTTTCCCTCGAGAGTCTCCCTTTGCACAAAGAGAGAGCGGCCTTGGGCTCAGAGCCCCGGGGCGACTGCAGCGCCCAGCTGGACTCGAACAGAACCCACGTCTTGTCTTCATCAGTCTGGTCACCTCCTGCTTGTGGGTGTGGGTGCTGATTTGCAGCTCTCTTCTTAAATAAATTCACTATAAGCAAAAGCAATGAATTCTTCAGAGAAAGATCCGCTCACTTGCTCATTCGGCAAATACTCGCGGAGCACTAATAACACGCACGGTACGGCCCAGGACCCTGGGTGTTAGGGCTGCGCACAAAGCAGACAAACCCCTACCCTCAGATGAATCACAGGGCGGGCATCGTGCACAAATACGGGAAAGACGGCCCAGTCACACCCGGATTTCGGAAGCTCGAGACGGAGCAGAGTTGGAATCACCTCTGTCCCAGGGGAGGGTGAGTGGCTGGCGGGGGCTGCCTGCACCCTGGGAGGCCTTAGGACCCACCAGACCCTCTGTGATTTCAACTTGGCCGTTGGACAACTGTAGAAATGCAGGTCATCTGTGAAGGAAATGCTGCCTTTACCGCGGCCACCACTCACTCCCTCCATGGCCTCCGTGCTGTCCCGCGGGCTCTGGGCTTTGCTGCCTATACACTGGACCTAGGCTTCGCCCTCTGACCGCACAGGTTTGGGCAGGGGTGGGTTGAGGTAGCGGGGTTAACATGAGTGCACTCTGAGTTTTAGAAAGTACCTCCCTCTACAGCAGCCAGCCACCCACAGCGGAAACCTCGCCATCCGCGGCCCCTAAAGAACGGGTCCGCAGGGGCGAAAGGAGCAGGGCGGCCAGGTTCTCCTCTGCGGGGGAGACAGCGTCCTGGCCGCGCACGAGCCCTGTTAGCAGGTGACGCCTCACCAGCCCAGGGGCAGAACCACGGAGCCACCACTTTGCCTGGCCATGGCTCAGCTCTGAAAGAGGAGCGCACGCGGAGTTCTCGGCCGCCCTCCCCACCCCCAGGACTGGCCGCGTTCCTAAGGGCAGAGGGCTTGCAGACCAGGCGGCCGAATGGGGACGCTTCCTCCCCCTTCTTCTCACGGAGCTAGAGGCTCTCAAAACGGCGCTCGCGAGACACCCTGCACCAGCCACGCACGTGCACACACACATGCACACACACGCATGCACGCGCACGCGCACACGTGCACGCACACGCGCGCGCGCACACACACACCCGTGGAGGCTGTACTTTATGTGCAACTTAACATATTCAGAAGGATGATTTCTGGCTATAAACATTTTTTTCTTGCCTTGAGCACTGAATTTAGAAGCAAACTCTCGTGTACATACAGGATGTGACTATATCGCATTTCCTTAAACAACATCTTCTCCCAGGTCCTGTGACTCTGGATCTACACACACCGTTCACTAGGTCTTTGCTGAGGTCAGTCAGGCATTGCAGAGAAAGGGCACTGGACAGGCCGAAGAGAGGGTGTGGAAGAGCGTCCTGCTTCTGGACACCCCTGCCTCCCCCCAGCTCCTGTAAGCCAGGAGAGACATTTCCAGGAAGCACTCAAGGTCGAGGAAATATCAGTGACGTTTCCCTTCGTTTGGATGTCTTCCCTCCTTTCTGCACTTGGCGGAGACCCCGGGGATCTTTTCTCAGCCGGACAGGTGGTCACGGGATGTGCTCCTGCCCTTCAGCGCCCTGCCACACGGAAGCCTGCACCAGGCTGGAGGGCTCAGCACTGCTTTCAAACGGCTCCTTGTGAACGAATGTCCACTCACTCCTGTCCTGTCCCTCCTTAGGGACCAACCCGAGGTGTGGGAGAGACTGGCTCTCGTCGTTTCCAGGAGCAAACACGAGTGACTCCTGGGTGGGACACGGTGCTGGGTACACGGCCTAGAAGTGGGGAGCAGGACCCTCATCCGAGAGGAGCAGGGAGGAGGAGGGAGGGAGGGAGAGAAAGACAGAGGCCAAGACACAGAGAGAGACAGAGAGACAGGAACATACAGAGAGACAGAGGAGAGCGATGGGGCAGAGAGATGGGGACACACTTGGAGAAAGAGGTGGGTGAAGGAAGGGGAGAGGCCGGGTGGGCAAGGGGCTGACACTGGCTCTCCTGAAACCCTTCCCAAATCCTGCTAATGTCAGGACAGTGAGTTGGAGGTCCTGGCCTGCTCTGCCACCAAGGAGCCTGGCTCCCTCTCACCTGGAAGGGTGAGGTGAGTTGCAGCTCAAGGCACTGAGCCGGCCGTCAGGATGTTACACAACCCGATGTGCAGCCAATGTTTTTATATAACCCTCCGGTTCTCCCCATAAAACAGACCATAACACCCTGGCAAATACACTTCAATAAAGCTAGGTGCTATTACCAGGGCACACAGCTTCCAAGAGACGAATCACCTGGCCAAGTGGCAGTTGGACTAAACTTTTCTCCCCTCGTGGCTTCAGCTGCACAGGACAGATCAGAAAAGCCACAGAGCTCACTCAGGAAAGGCGCGTCTGGAGGAGACAGGAGCTGGGGGTGGGGGGCGAGGGGCGCCTGGTGTGTCAGAGGATGCTCTGCTCCCTCCCAGACAGGGAGTAAGGCTGTGGACAGTACCCTCATTCACGGTGTCACCACGCCTCTGGGTCTCAAGCTGCTGCTTCCTCCCGCAGGAAGCCCCAAGGAGACCCCCATACTGGCAGGGAGCACACAGACCCCCCCACACACAGTGCAGTCCAGCTCCCAGACACCTCCGCCCAGAGCCTGTTACTGATGCTTCCTTCCTGAGGAGCTTTGCTGGGGCTGCCAATGCAGAAACCAGAATAGCACAGAACAGAAGGAAAAAGCCCACTAATGAGGTAAACACACAAACTTTTCTCCTTCCTCCTTGTACCTCGGCACAGAGAGAACCCAGGAAGCAGCACGCACTTTATTCCGTCTGCTGCATCCCAAAGTGGAAAAATACCCGTTCCTCCCAGCTGCGGCCACTGGCCCTGACCCTTGCGAGGGGCCCACACCTTCGGGGAAGAAACAAGGAACCCATCCCCAGGAGCCGGGCTTGCTGTGGAAGCTCCCGAGGACCGTGGGCTCCCATGCACCACAGCCCAGGTCCCTCTGTGGGGTTAACACCTGCCAAGCCCCTGCTGGACCCCTGACTCAATCTGTCCAGGAGTCACCAGCTGGCCTCACACTCGTCGCACAGCAACACTTTCTGGAGGGAGCCCTGAGCATCCCCAGGACGGGAGTCTGAACGGGCCCAGGGGTCCCAGGGAGGCACCTTTCCCCACCAGCACTCAAGACACCACATCAACAACCTCTGAAGGACAGCACTGCCCTCCCTCCGTCTCCACATCCTCCAGGAGGGAGAGGGGTGACTCCAGGAGAAGACCCCCACCCCCACAGCTCCTAGAAAAGCAGAACGTGCCCTCTCACTCTTGGACCCAGGCACTGCCTGCTCTTAAAGCAAGTCCTAGACCCTCTTGAGAAGTTCTTTCAAGTTCTCTCAGGGAATAAGTCGGATACATTGCATGTGTGGTTGGGAGGTTGGTTCTCAAGTGTCCACCGGGGGAGTGAACGAATGAGCCGTCATCCAGGACAATGCTCTCTGCTAAAGGGACCCCTTCTCTTTCTTATCTGCCTCCTACCCAGGCTCCACCCGAAGTAACACAGGAGTTTGATCCCAGCCTCTGTTGGCCATCAGGCCCTGGGGTGAGCCAGGGTTCCGTGTCCCGAGCGCCGTGTGCCAGCCCCCCTGTCCAGCCCCTTTGTTCTCAGCGGGACGCTGCCTGGCTCACCATTCAGCTGGTTGTAGACCACCTCCTCCAGGTGGTCCAGGCGCTGCAGGATGGCTTCGCGGTCCACCAGCGCGCCCGCCTTGGCGTGCCTGCTCCGCACCCGGCGGTCGGCGCTGCGCACGATCTGCACCAGCCCCTCCGAGCGGTCCTGCAGGCGGCAGTACGCGGAGAAGAGGATGATGCCCACGAACACCAGGATGTTGACCGTCAGCAAAGTTTTGATCTTCCTGGCCACCGCCATGAACGCGGCTGGAAGCTGGGGGCTGCCTCACCCGCGGGGCATCCCCGTGGGCCCAGCGGCCACAGGAGCCTCCGCCCGGCCCGCCGCTTCGGGGACCATGAGCCAGCCGGCTGACCGCGGGGCTGCGGGGGCTGCGGGCGGGGTGGGGGACGGGCGCGGGCGGGGGTGGGGCCCGGGGGCTGCGGGCCCGGGGCTGCGGCAGGGGGGCTGCGGGCGGGGCCCGGGGGCTGTAGCCTGGGGAGCTTGGGGCCGGGGGCTGCGGGCGGGGCCCGGGGGCTGTAGCCTGGGGAGCTTGGGGCCGGGGGCTGCGGGCTGGCTGCGCGCTCCGCCGCCCGCTCCCGGGAGCTGTCCCTTCAGCACCACCCGCGCCCGCTCAGCGCGCCCGGCCGCCGCCGCCCGGGGTCCCCTTGCGCAGGGGCTGCCCGGGGCCGCGCGCGCAGGGGGCAGGCGGCATCCTCCGCAGAGGGGCGCGGCCCCGTCCCGGGGGGCGGCGGGCGGGCCTGCGGGCGGGAGAGGCGAGGGAGGCGCGGGCCGGGCGGGCGCTCCGGCGGCCGTGCGGCTCCTGCCCGCCCCGCAGCCACGGCGCCGGTGCGGAGTGACGCGGCCGCCCAGCTCATCAGCATGCACGCGGGGCCTCCGCGCCCGCCCCCCGCCGGGACCGCCCCCGCCCCCCTCGCTGGGCGCAGGGTCCGGGGCGAGCTCCGGCTGCCCCGAGCCCGGCCGGCCTGGCGGGCGGGGCGGGGCGGGGCGGGGCCGCGCGCTCAGGAGACCCAGACCAAGGGCACCAGGGCGGACGCGGTGGGGGTGGGGGGTGCTGCGCGCGGACCCTCGTTGTCATGCCCCCTCCCCCCCCCCCCCGCTCTGAATAAACCCGAAACTTGACCCAAGGAAGCGGGGCCTTGGGGAGTGCCTGGTCAAGGCCGCGTTGTCTGCATTAATGGGCCTGGGGTGGGAGGGTGCCTTTGTGGGGAGAAGGGCAGACAGCAGGGTCAGAGCCATCTCCGTGGTCTCCCTATTTACCTAGGCCAAACTAAATCAACTCCCGGCTTCCTTCCCCCCGCCCCCCACCCCCCACTCCCAATCCCCGCACCCCCACCCCCTCACCACCTCAGTCCCCAGCATCCCTGCCGTGGAGCTGAGTTCAAGGACGGGTGGACGGGGAGCCTGGGATTCAACGGGACCTAGGGGTCCCACCAGACTGAACCTGGCCACCCACCGGGACAGGAAGAAGGCTCAGACCCCTGGGCATCAGGTTCTCCAGGTCACGGTGCTCAGACCTCAGGGGAGAGCATACCTGGCTGCCCCCCCACCCCCACCCCGCCTGTCTACGGATCTAGCCCCAAACAGGCATTTACAGATGAGGCAGCTGGGTCATGACGGGGAAAGACCTGCACAAGCCCCACAGAGTGGGCGTTGTGAGCACCCCCAGGCAGGGCTTTCTGTCTGCCTGCTTCTCGCTGCATTCCGGTGCTTGAAAAAGCACTTGACACTTGGTTGGTGCTTGGTAAATATTTGTTGAATAAATAAATAATAGAACATTTATTAAGAGCTAACTTTGTAGGGCGCCTGGGTGGCTCAGTCGGTTATGCGACTGCCTTCGGCTCAGGTCGTGATCCTGGAGTCCCGGGATCGAGTCCCGCATCGAGTCCCGCATCGGGCTCCCTGCTCGGCGGGGAGTCTGCTGCTCCCTCTGACCCTCCCCCCTCTCCTGCTCTCTCTCTCTCATTCTCTCTCTCAAATAAATAGATAAAATCTTAAAAAAAAAAAAAGAGCTAACTTTGTACTGGGTCCCCAATAGACGGAGATGAATATGACAAGGATCTTGGGCTTCAGGGAGCTCTGGCTAATGTGTGCACTTACGTCTGTGTGTGTGCATTTGTATGTGTGTGTGTGTTTGTCTTGTATCTGTGTGTCAGGGAACGTTAGGGTCTTCTGGCTCTTGGTCCAGTACTCTCTTCTCCAACACACATTTTGTGACCTCAGGCAGACCAGCCTCCCCAGCTTGGATGTTTTGTGCCTCCTGGTGGATTCTGGTGAAAGCGAAAACACCCATTTCTCCTCGTCCTCATCAAAACTGTCTCTTCTTTCTAGGACTTTCGTCTCAAGAAAGTCAGAGGACCACCAGCAGGAAGGAGCCAGCCACTGGGCCTCGTGGCCAGCTGTCTCCAGAGTGTTTACCATGTAAAGCACTTGTTCTGAGAGGAGCCTGGGAATTCTGTTTTTACTCATCAGGAGAGTCTTACGGTGCAGCTAGTTTGATAAACACTGGTCTGTTTTTGATAAATAGCCAATCCCATGTCCCTTCTTAGGAAATACTGTATTTTTCTGTTTATAAAATGCCAGGTTGTAAGATGCTTCCCAATTTTACAAGGATAGCTTTGAGAATAATAATACAAAAAGCTAACACTCACACAGCTCAGTAAGATGTAGCCAGGCACCATTCTGGGTCCTTACGGCTGTTAATGGATTAAGACTGACAGCAACCACATTACCATGTAAGCTGGTATTGTCTAATTCTACAACAGTGGAAACGGAGTCACCAAGAGGGTCAATGCCATGCCCAAAGTCACACTGATAGCAAAGCATGGATCTGGGATTCAAGCCCAGACAATTTGGCTCCAGAATCAGATTTATTAGCTATGGTCGCTCAAGAAAAAAATCAAGCACTTTTCATTATATGGTTATTGAAAGTGATTTGAAAGTGGTTTTGCAGAAGAAAACATTATTTTGCTCATGTAAATACATTGTACTGTATCCTGAAATTTAGCCGGAAACAATACATCCAAACTATGCATCAATGTTTGGCTAAATATTTCATTCCAGATACAAGCACGTTGAAAATGTGGGGTACCCTGCAGGGAGGGAATGCATCTGATAGTCCAGCAAACCGGTTTTATTTTATTTTCAACCACACCGGTGTTTGAGAATGCACACCTGCTCAGGACACTCACACCCCTCCCACCATCACAAAGCCCCCCCCCCCCCCCCGGGGACCCCAGGTAGATAGTCAGCCCTTCAGAAGCCCCAGCATGTCCAAGGTCTAGAGTGCTCCTTTGTGGGTGTAGGACAAGGTCTCTGGGGTGGCAGGTATCCTGTGGGAAGGCATCGATGGGTCCTGGGGGAGTCACTGTGTTGGCACGGGAGATGGGAAGATGGGGCAGTGGAATGTAGAGATGCCAGTTAAGGGAAATGCCAGACTCTTTAATGTTAAAGAAGTCCCACTCTGCTGGGAGTCTGGCCTTGAGACCACACTCAGATCTGAACAGAATTTCCTTTGAGTTGGGCCACAGGTTAGGCCCCAAACTGGACCACAAGCTGAAATTTGGCAGAACCTAAAGTGGTTCCCTCCTACCTCATGGAAAGCAAGGCATTTCTTTTTCCCAGGGCAACTCGTGCATGTGGTACATCATGTTTACTGCCTAGCACATCAGTCAGGATAGGCTGGGTCATGCTGCAGTAACAAGCAACCCTCAGGTCTCAGACGCTTGAATGATGCGAGGCCATTTCTCACCCATGCCCCATATCCTTGACCAGTCGCTCTGGGACCAGCCTTCAGAGAGCAGCGCCAGTGTCCCCATAACTGTGCCAAAGAGAGAGGAGAGCCTAGGAGGGCCTCGTACTGGCCATTAAGTACCCAACCTAGAAGTGATCCCTGCTATTTCCACTCATAACTTTCTGGCCAGTAAAATGTCATGTGAACCTCCCCTACACCAACAGTGGGGGTAGGAAGTGAATTTCTACCATGTACCTTGGTGAGAAGCACTCATGAGCCATATAGCATCCCTCCAGATGATCAGGATTTTACTCCAAATTCACCCCAACTCCCAGATACCAGGCTACCCAGAGTAGCCAATGCATGATCATCGTTAAATCAGAATTTAATGCAACCATCGCATAACAGAGAATCCTAAAGCAAGCAATGACTGTGATGAATCCTGGTTTAGACCCAGTCATTTTTTTGGATGCCTTGTTAAAAATTTTTGGTTTTTTAATTTCCTTTTTTTATTTAATTTCAATTAATCAACATATAGTGTATTATTAGTTTCAGAGGTAGAGGCCAGTGATTCATCAGTCTTATACAACACCCAGTGATCATTACATCACATGCCCTCCTTAATGCCCATCACCCAGTTACCCCGTCCCCCCACCTACCTCCCCTCCAGCAACCCTCATTTTTTTTCCTAGAATTAAGCGTCTCTTACTGTTTGTCTCCCTCTCTGATTTTGTCTTGTTTCGTTTTTCCCTCCTTTCCTCTATGATCCTGTTTTGATTCTTAAATTTCACATGAATGAAATCATATGATAATTGTTTCTCTCTGATTGACTTATTTCGCTTAGCATAACTAGTTCCATCCACATCGTTGCAAATGGCAATATTTCATTTTTTGACGGCTGCATAATGTTCCATTGTATATATATACCACATCTTCTTTATCCATTCATCTGTCGATGGACATCTGGGCTCTTTCCACAGTTTGGCTATTGTGGACATTGCTGCTATAAACATTGCAGTGCAGGTACCCCTTTGGATCCCTACATTTGTATCTTTGGGGTAAATACCCAGTAGTGCAATTGCTGGGTCATATGGTAGCTCTTTTTTCAACTTTTTGAGGAACCTCCATACTGTTTTCCAGAGTGGCTCCACCAGCTTGCATTCCCACCGACTGTGTAGGAGGTTCCCCTTTCTCCGCATCCCCGCCAACATCTGTCGTTTCCTGACTTGTTCATTTTAGCCATTCTGACTGGTGTGAGGTGGTATCTCATTGTGGTTTTGCTTTGAATTTCCCTGATGGCTAATGTTGTTGAACATTTTTTCATGTGTCTGTTAGCCATTTATATGTCTTCTTTGGAGAAGTGTCTGTTCATGTCTTCTGCTCATTTCTTGACTGGATTATTTGTTTTTGGGTGTTGAGTTTGAGAAGATCTTTATAGATTTTGGATACCAGCCTTTTATCTGATATGTCATTTGCAAATATCTTCTCCCATTCTGTGGGTTGCCTC